CCATGCTGAGGAACAAGAAGACCATCTATAAGTAGCAAGACTAATTATGGATCTACAGCTCAACCCAGAATCACAGAACCATAGAATAGTTTGGGTTGAAAGGGACCTTAGAGGTCATTGAGTTGCAAAGGCCTGTCACAGACTAGGATACATTTCATTAGATCAGGTTGCTCAAAGTCCTGTCCAACTTGGCCTGGAGCACTTCCAGGGATGGGGCTTTCACAACTTTTCTAGGCAACCTGTTGCAGTGCCTCACCACCCACCATAAATACAACTTGTAACTATGAATTACTCAATAGTAAGATATTAAAATAACCTTTGATAATACTGCTTTTGCATTGAAAACAAGCAAGAATAAATGAGGTTTCTGCTTTTCACTTATCATTGAAATTCTAATCAATACTTTTTTCTCTGACATTGTCCACCAAAATATTACTTTCCTGGAATAATAGCGTTGTTCAATCCATACACTCACGAATTTAATGATCACTCAAAGGATTTACCAACCTCCTTATAATAAAAATGTTTTTTTGTTTTGAGTTTTAGGCTTTAAATCACATTTGAAGGCACAAAACAGAGTAACGTCATTGTGCAATAAAAGTGGGCTATTTCAGATTTTATTGCTAGTTTAATTTGGTGTGCCTGAGAGCAATTCTGCTGCTGTCACACATGAAATGAAACTTGTCCAGCAAGAAAACTTACTACTTGCGGAAATGTCCAATGTCAGGTAATCTGTAAATATGAAAATAGATTTACTCTACACAGCCAAAATTTATTCCTCCAAACATCAGAAGGGGCATTGTTTAAAGGAAAAGATCTTCAAAACTATACTAATACTTGCTATACTATATACTATATACTATACACTATACACTATTATACTATTATACTATTATACTATTATACTATTATATATATATAATACTATACTATAAATAAAAGCTTGTGCTTTATGTCTCTTACTTGTTCTAGCTTCCATCCTGTATTACACTGACTGCTTTGCTTTTTTCTCATTCTTCCATTAGAAGTATTTATTTGGTTTGGATGTTTAAACATTTTAAAGGTAAAGGATAAAAATTATGTAGGAATATATAAAACCTAAAGAATGCATAACATTAATTGTGAACTTCTAGAAGATATAGTATGGTCACTATCACTAATCTACATATACCTTGCCTCCACTCCAAAAAATCCCTTTTTGAGACAATTAAATTATCTTTTACAGCAGGCAGCTTCAGACTGTTCAGTGTAACATTTGACAGAAGGCATGGAGCATAACTCTGACTCTTAGCTTCATTATGAATTTCTGAATATTCCTCCTTGAGGTGTTATTTACTTGAAAAGCACTAGAACTGCACAGAGAATGATACCTTTTAATACATGTGTGCTTCACATTAGGTACCATGCAGGTCATCAAAGAATTTGAATCAAAGCATGTGCATTCAAACTGGAAGTTTGAATTTCTCTGTGGGAATCCTACATATATTATTTTCCAAACTTCTAAAGCCTACAATTTCATGTTTTATAGCCACAGGTTTATTAGTAGCAGTCCAGTTTTGAGACATGTTCTACATGAGGTAATTATTTCCATGGTAGAAGTACATCTCTTCTAACCCCAAACCAGCTTGATCTCGCCAGCCTTGTCTCTCAGTTTAGCAAATAACTTTATTTCATTCAGAATATCTCTCTTTTCAAAATTACTCTTTTTTTGACAATATTTGTTTTGTTTAGGCACTGGACTTCCACAGTGTACAGGACAGCAGTGGTCCAAGTATAAGTTTATTTTTACCTGTAAATCCTTGAAAGCTTTCCCTATCACCAGACATATTTGATATAAATACAATCCATTTGCTAAAACTATCCTCCACACAGAGTGAAATCTGACAGTAAATAAAAGGGAAAATGGAGAACTGTGCTTTTATAGAGAATACAGTGGCAGATGGAACCTGACTAGTGAACTCACTAAACTTTAAAAGTCATGAAAAAGTAATCTCTGAACACAAAATAGAATTGAATTCTTCACAAAGAAAGCAAATAGGGGAGGGAAAGCAGATCAATGAATCTCATCTACTCAATACAGTATAAAGAAAGGAAAGCACTGGCTGCTATTTAATGCTGCAGCCATTAAAGAACAGTGATTACAATGCTTCTCCCAACTCCATCACATAATCTTACCACAGGAAAGATATTTATTCCCCTCCCTACCCCATCATACACTCTATGTGGAAAAAATATTAGGCTTCTCCTTTTCAACTGAAATTGTAAAACAAGCACATACTAAGTAATAGTTCACAGGTGCTTGTAGAATCACAATAAATGGATAACTCTACAATGTTGTTTTCCACATAAAGTATTAGTGTTTTTTGTAAGACTGCCCACGTTAAGCACATGCTCATGATGTTGGTTGCAGCTTGTGCAGGTCTAGCTGTGTGAAGAGGTGCCTAGGTGGAAAACCAGGTGGAGAGCCTGCAGGTCTCACAAAATGCAGCATCTTACTATGGTGGACAATTTCTGAGGAACACCACAGTTCTGCCTCTGGATCTTTAACAAATTTGGATTCTTGAATGGCTCCAGTCTTAACACTTGGCTGGCAGTGACAAAAAAGGAACCAAAAGTTTTTATGTGCCTTTCCCATCTCCAAAAATTTTTTGTCCTAATACTTCTCTAATTCTCACCCTCTCTACTTGCAGACTCAGTCATGTTATCCCACAGGGTCAGGTGTCCATGTCCTACTATCTTGTGTCTGAAACATGAGTGACTCCAATGAGTGATTAGGTCTTGAGAGGCTTTCAGAAAGTCAAGCATTTACATGAAGCTGCTTGTTACCCTCAAGCTTGTTACCTGTGTGTGGGACCAATTAAAGCAATTGCTTATTAAATTCAGCATAGGACCGTTTCTGAGTTAATATCTTCCAAGCATAGACGTAGACCATCTTCAAAGATAGCTCCAACAGTGGGATGACATGCAAAGGTGCAGGATTTCAAGAGTTGGGAACGGCTTCTGCCAAGAGAGAGAAAGGCTCTCCAAGGTCATTTGCAGCATGCTGCAAGCCGCAGAACATTTCACAGGATCAATGGAAAGCCTTGCTACTTAGCCAGGTCCCAAAACAATCCAATGGGAAGCTTCCAGAAAATGCAAAGGAGAAAAACTCTGTCTTTCTAATAACTAGCTGCTTGCATCTAACACTCAATGATAACAAAATACATATTGAAACAGTCTAGAGGGTCCAAGAAGTAGGAGGTTGAGCACTGTACAGGAGGCTTGGGTGAATGTTTTTTATCTAATTTACCATCCATGACTTCTGAATGCCATTTTAGGGTTTCAGGACCATGTTTTTGAAGTAAGAAAAGCAAAACTTTTTTTTTTCCAGTAACATTTGATGATATATGTGTCTCTGCATTAAGAGAGAAATGGTGATTTGCAGTTAGTGACCTGCAAGTTCTACCTTCCTGCCAACATACAGGATCTCACTAATAAGAGCTCCAGAGCTCAGACACTTTCCCAGGCCTGCAGACTCTTCATATCTTTCTGTCCCTCTTGTTGCAAGCCATTCCTCATCCCTGGTAAGTAGGTTCAAACAACAGAAAGGAAGAACTTACCTGGGAGAAAGTCTGTTTGAGGGCCCTGTTGGTTATGCTCTTGTGGGGCACTAAGGAGACTGGAAGGTGTCACCTGTATATCAGTCACAATTCTGCCACTCTAAAATTTGTGTTTGGACAATAAACCTTTCAAAGAAGGTATTATCTCTTTATTATTAATTTCCATTTATGGCATTGGGGATTACTGTCACCTATATAAAATAACAGCTTATTTGTTACACTAAGTAACAGTGAAATATTAGGCTATTAATTCCAGAAGATGTTATTATATGCACTCTGAGCTAATAAATTAAAGCAGGATATGAGCGGTTTACAATGCTACACTTTTCATTCATCTTTTACCTATACAAGGCTAAAATGTTTAAAGCCTGGAATTTATCACAGCAGAATGAGAATGTTTCATGATGTGAATGGATTTTCCTTAAAATGCACAGGAAAAAATAATAATCTGGACAATTAATATAGGAAAAAATATGGAAAAGAGATCATCAGCCAATTTCTTTTCAAGTCCCCTTTAGCCAATTCAATCTGTTTTGCTCAATTCCATTGACAAAACTCAGTCAACAATCCTAAAAAATCAATCAGAACCCAAATTTCAGTATTACTACTACTGTGTGAAAAATATGCATGATCAAAACAGCAGTGCATTGTAACACAAAGTTCTGTGAGTTTTCAAGTATAATCTGAAGTGAGCTGAATGTTGTCTTTTACTCCCAACAAACTGTAAAGCAATATTGCAAAACACTAATAAGGAGCCTTCTGTTTAGCCGGTGTATTTGCTTATAAAATAAGATGGTTAACTTGAGTACCACATCTTCGAAATAACTAAATTCAGAAAACACACAATTTCAAATAATCTGAGATAAAACACGATAACCTAGATTATTTGTTAGTTCAGTTGTAACAGTTTGAAAAAGAATGCAACTTTAAACATGAAGATAATAGGAGACTAAGGGTATTGTTCAATGCATGCCTCTGTCACCCCCATTGTTCAATACAGCAAGCAGCTGGAGAGCGAATAGAAGTAGCATCAGGTAGTTTGCTTGAATCTTTCCCCATAAAAGTGCTCATTTAATGATGAAAAATATGTTCATGCATTCATGCAAACAACATCTGTATATACAGTTCTTGATGGTTAGCTGTGTTCCCTCAGATTAGTTAGCTTTAATAGTTTACTGCTCCTTATGGTTGTGTTTTTCTTTCCATCATAAACATAAACACCTAATAGATAGACTGCCACCTAAATTTTTTTCTAAAAACCTGCTATTTATACTAATTTTTCAAAAACTATTTTGTTAACAGATGCAATATTTAATGAAAGCTTCAGAGAGACTTTTTTACAGCCAACAAACTGAAAATTAATTCAGCATGTTTAGTACACTCCTAGTTTTATAACCTCATCCATTATTTTTTATTGTTGTTGTTAGGTAGTGACGTTTTATGATTATGCAACTTAGAAAATATAAATTTTCATTTATAATTGCAGAAGAGCATCAGAACAACATGGTTTTAGAATTGCATTTATTCTTGACCTTTTGGAAGGCAAACTGAATTCTTCTATTTTGTACAACAAGAGTGATAATATCACACAAAATAATGATATTTTTGAAACTTTTTTACTCTTTTTATCTATAGAGAACTAAATAAGGCTTGGATTTCATAAACAAGTCAAGCTTATGTGGCTAGCCTGTAACATTTTGACAGCTGCATATGCTTCATGTTCTGACAAGATCATTCATATTGTGGAAAAGCATAACACACTCAGAGGAAACATATTCTTATCAATATGATGACATTTTACAAAGTGAACACTTTGTCAGCCATGAAATAACCTCTACTTGTTTCCTTTGTTTGTTTATTTGTTTTCACTTCTTTGGAAGCAATCCTCAAATTATGACTGATTTTCTGAGTTTGCAAACACTTGTACAATAATTATCTAAACTTTTCAAGTAAATGTTTGTATATAACAATAAAAATACCCAAACAACCTGCAAATATTTCTTTATTAGAACGCGCTAAATCCCACAAAAAAGATAAGACACATATTTTTTTGCAGGTCAAGAGATATTAGCTGTCAAAAAAAAGTAGAAAAGAAGTATCAGAACAGAGATGTCCCAATGCCTTAACTGTGGCTTTGGTCAAAGATGTATACATAGGGAAAAGCACAAGAACAGCTTGTGCAATTCACAACTCAGAGACTTCTTTGACCCTAATATTGGCACTTTTTGATGTCTCATTTCTGGAGTTAAAGTAAGGTTTTCTCTTACTCTAGAGAGAAAATATAAATGAGATATAGCAGTAGTTCGTGCCAACATCTATAGCTCAGTGGCTTGATTTGAATTATCTGATAAGTAGACAGTGAAATCTCAGAACGAATACCATGATTGTGTGGGCACAATCATATTGATCTTATACAAGAGCATTTTCCATGTAAATCAGACTTAATTGGTTAATAATATATTAAGAGCTTTGAATTGTCTGTTTTCAATCAACAGCATAATTTTCCCTTCTTCCAAACTATACTTAAATAAAACTTTGCATAAGAGTCTTGTTGACTATATTAATGAATTTACTATGTAAAATTTTAAGCAGTTTAATTTTTTTTTTTTTTAGTTTTTTCAAACAAACTTTACTTAATTCTATCATTAGGTGATTGATACTTATTTATTTACAGAAAAACCTACAGTTCATTGAAGCTGGGCTGCATTTTCCTAGATATTTGCAAAGTTACTTTTTTTTCTATACTATAGCTAAGAGAAATCAGTAACATTTAAAAACAGCCTGCTGTGGCATTAACTGTAAAGAAAAACAATATAATACACTACAGAGAACATTGTATGACAAATAGTCATATATTTTAAATATTTATGTAAATTAGACAACATATAATGACAGAAGGAACAGCTTCTTTACAAGGAGCCCTCTAATATTCTAGACCTTTAATAGTTCATATTCACCTTCTTTCTAAACCAAAAGGTACAAACCCAAAGTCAATGTAATCATTAGAAATCCATCTGTTTGGTAAGAAGATTATTTAAGTTATGAACAGTCGCATTTAGTCCACAATAAGATTATTCTTTATAATTCATAGATTAGTTTTCTGTTCACAATAATGCACCTAATTAAAGAACAAGACTGGTTTTGTCAAAAGGAGTCATATTAAAACAGCAATGGTTCAGTAGATTTCTGTTGGGGTTGCCTCTTTTTGGATTTCCTAGTCCAATGTCTTACTCAAGCAAATTTAAAACAGAAGTTATATTCATATTGTTTATTTATATAATTTCTGCTGGTGTACAAAGATTTGTATCACATCAGTATTCTTTTGATCTGTCAAGGACTGGAGGCATAGTGTCTTGGAAAATGCACCATTCCTGCAGTTTACCTCTGCAGTCTTACTCAAGCACATGTTTTGCATGTGTTTCTAGTTAACCAGAAGCTACATATTTTGTAGAATTTTAAACTCAATCTAAACCACCCTTTTTCTATGCAATGTTTACTAACATGATTCATAATCACAGTTTTCTTCAACTTATTGCAAGTGATTATACATATGTATGTATATCTATGCAAATAAATACATCTATGTTAAGAGAATGAGAGATGGCTGTGATAGTAGTGTTTAAAAGACTGAAAACTTTGGCCTGTTTCAAACTTGGAAACAATACTAAATTGACATTCATTGGCAATACACATTGCTAACATTAAGTTCTAATTAATTATTTCTACATATACTCTAATTATTTCTACATATACTCAAATAAATAGATTTAAACAAGCTTATCCTAAATTAGCTGTGAGAAAACAATATGAAGAAGCTGATAGTCCTGATGGGTATGGTTCCTCAAAGGCTTCAGTGTCCAAATTTAAGGTGGCTGGTGTTTAGAGGTCTGTGAAAAGAGATAATAGAACTCTTTTCTCTTTTCTCTCTTTTCTCTCTTTTCTCTCTTTTCTCTCTTTTCTCTCTTTTCTCTCTTTTCTCTCCTTTGCTCATGATTGCCATTTTATGTTATCTGTTCAAAAGAAAAAGGGAAATTCATATACTCTTTATATAGCTAAACCTACAATCACACCTCCAAAATAATTAAATTATATGTTCAGAATTCATACTAGTCCTTATCTATGTGATAAAAGTATTTTGCATTGTTGCCAATTTTTTTCTCCCTGAAAAGGACTAGGACTGAAAGACTGTTGAAGGGGATTTAACAGTTGTCATCCATACGTGGATCTTATTTTTTTTCATAGTTAGGACTAATCTTTTGGAAACTGTGCTCAAAAAAAAAAAAAAAGGATTGTTGAGGAATTAGTAAAATATGAGATGAGCAATTTGATGCATAGAAGCTAAACTAACACATTGGGAAATTTAAGTTACTTATAAAAAAGAAAAAAAGACCACCCAAAACAAGTCAAGCCCCTTAACTTATAACACTAAAACCAAATCTTCCCCAAAACATTTTGAAGTCAATGAATTGTAAAACATTTTTTTTTGTCAGAAGAATGAATTAGCTAAAAAATTATTCTGAATTTTTACTTACTTTATTGATCCTAAAACTTTTCAGGGAATTTATTCTGGTTGGATGAAATAAAACCTGAAACCAACAAGAAAGAATCTGAAAGAAAAATGGAAGTTAAACCAAAATGATCATGATTACCACATAGACGTGAGACAGTTATGGATTTGTCACATCATACATAATGAATGTGCATTGTGTTATGTGACTGAATTGTGAGTAGTATGTAAGAATTAAATGCACATATCCATATACATTATGAACTATATATAACTGACATGGACATCAAAATATAAAAGAAGCTTAATGAAATTTCTGGCTAAGAATTATCCATGTGTGTGATACTACTGTTTATAAAGCATCTGTTACACCAGTTTGTCATGGCCAGCTATGATTTTCCTAATGGGTGAAAGGAAATGGCTTTTAAATTTAAGCATTCTTGATACAAAAAATTCCAGATGCCACTAGGTGCTTTGTCAAAATCTGCTTAGTTTTCCTCAGAAATAAGAATTCAGAGCCAGTTGTAAATCCCTCTCACACATCCTGGTATTTTTCCCCCAGCATCAGGAAAGCAGGGAATTAATGGGAGGACCAGCAGCAGCAGAAAGCATGTTTAACACTGCCCTTTCCTTATTTCAGCAACTTCCACTACTACAGGAGCAAGTGGGCTTCGTAGATTGCTTCCACTGTAAAAAAGCATTAACCTTAATTTTAAAGTTTTCTTTGGTTAAACGTTGCAGATTTCAAAGTTAAATTTCTGCCTTAATGGAAGGCAGAATCCCAAACTTGTTTTCCAGTCAAATTTCCTGCATAACTTTTTTTTAAAAAATGTCAGATGTTGAGCAGGCTTTTCAAAAAAACTGAACAGCCAGAGACTGGATGACTTCAGTAATAGGAATACAGCCTGGGGAAGGTGCATAAATCTGTAGCCTTGCTGTGCATAAAATTGCTTTGGTAGCTCTGCATCTGGAAAGAGGGGAGGTTTGATCACTGCAGTTTGAAGGAATGTCATCAGCTAAACAAGCTAATCTTGCACCTTAATTACCAAGTCATGCTGCTTTTCTCCATGCAGTCTTATCATGAACTTTTTAAATGGGTATAAAAGCAGTGGTGAGTTTGCAAATACGACATTAAATGTAATGAAGTTTCCTTTCACCCTCAAGAAAACATAGGGGTGACTCTATGAATCATCCCTATGGGCCCACACAGGCCACCTTCTGCTTCTCTGGAATCTTAATACCATAAATGTTTAATCCATATGTTTCCTCCATGATTCATCCCTGAGCAGCTCCATATGTCAGCACTGGTCAGACAAGGCTTTTGAAATGCACAGGCAATGCTGGTGACTAGCAGACAAACACACATCAGTTCCACAAGCTATTATTTTCTTTTATTTTCTGTTATTTTCCCTTTATTCAGTTGGACAGCATAATAACTGGGGAGAGATCTGCTGAGGAAATCATTGGTGACATTAAAATGGACAAATTAAGGTATATCTGGACCTATAATATGGGTGTCTACCTGTGCTCCTGTTGCAGGGCTGTGTATGAGCTAGTCCCCTTTCTTCTAGGACCCCTTGGCTATGCTCAACCTGCAGGAATTAGGCTTGCTTGCTGCATCCAGCCCAGCTCTCCCACCTGGATGTCTCACTAGGAATAACTCAGGCTGAGAGGGTTCATTGAAATGCATCCTTGGACTAGATGGTTAACAGACTGAGATCTTAAGGTTTACTGCAGCAGGTGGGCCCCCCAGCAAGGTAAACAAGGTCTATGATTCTGGTATTGTTAATCTTGAGTTAAGAAAAGGGTCCAATACATGGACCTTCTCACCACAATGCCTGGAGGAGTATAGTATTCCAGGCATTTAGCTCGGTGAGGCTCTTACAGAGAGCAAGGTGGGAAATCATTATTCTCGGTTTATAAGAAAAGCAATGAACCATGCATAGAGTGTATGAAGCAGTTCATAGTTCCTTTATTAGTCACATGTATCTATTTGCATAGAAACATGAATAATTTCTATCCTGCATTTTCTACAAAACCAAATTTTTAAGGCTATATTGTGTCCAAGTGGAACTAAACACTTCTTGAGCTCAGGAAAATAGTACATGTATATACGTCTGCAGTGCTTTCCTAAGGAAATGAAGGCTTAAGGTTGGGATCAAATAAAGTGCCCTTATGTTTATATATAGCTATGTAGGCATAGGGCTCACAAAAACATGCACCATGCACTGACTTAGGAAATACACAGGAACCTTTTACTGGCATGTGGGATGGTAAACTAAATTTGGATCTAGTACCAGCTATAGACAACTGATTAAAGAAAACATGGGTCTTGATTCAGGTCTTGCTGTAGCAAAATGAAGATTTTTTTATTTTTTTTGCACCTAATAGAGTGAAATATAGAGTGTGAGGATTCAGCTGTCTCTTGTGAATATTCGTTAGCATTCCTATGTGGAAGAAATCTGACCTAGGTATATATAGGACTTTTCACACTTGTGCTGAAATTCCCTGAAGAGGAAATCTCACCTACTAGGTCCACGAGTAAGGGAAACAAACATCAAATCACATTCTTATTCTTATTTATAAAACCATTATTTAATTTCTGTATTTTACAACTGGTTTTCAGTCCTTATCCTAAACCATATTTATAATAGTTTTTGACTTACAATGAACTCAATTAATTGAACTACTGCTAAAAAGTTTGGATGAAGGTCTACAGTGTAGTTTGTACCAACTAAATTTATTTCTGCAGTTTAGCAAGTTTTACTTAGAGTTCTGTTTTAATAGAACAAATTCTTTTCATTCTAACTGATTGCATTAGAAAAGAGAAATATTAGCTCCCTGGGCAATTTTATGGTTAAAAGGAACTGTTCACGCATCAAGCACATACATTCTTTTCTTAAAAACTTTATATTGAAGGTTCCTTCCACCTACCTACCAACCATTTAAAGTGGAAGAAAATTTTTTGCATATCATTTAAGATTAGAATAAAAATATTTTATAGTTGAATAGACTGACAAATATTTTGCTGATTGACTAATTTTATAGCTAGTGGAATATATTGATTGAATTATTCAAGAGATAACATGAATTTTTGTTCAATGACTGGAGAATTTATTTTAAGCCACTATTCAATCAAGACTTAAAAATAAGCAGGGAAGAACAGAGGCATTTCATAAACTAAGTCTTGCCTGTTACAAGGTTCTTTTGTCATTCTTCTACTTCAAAAACTCTTGGAAACCCTTCTTTTGTGTCTTGGAACATAGGTTGTCTTTTAGAAGCAGCTAGATAAATAAGTTAATATAAACATTGCAAGACATAGTTCTTAAGGAAAAATTATGGATGCTGATGAAGAAATTTTATTTTAGATTATCTTATGTCTCTTTTTTTAAAATTAAAAATCACACATATCTGCAGTGAGTAAGGAAGATAATATATCTGAGACTTGTCCATCTTAGGTGTTATAGTAACCAGAACAGTCAGAATGGGAAATGCAATTGAAAACATTCAAACAGGACAACAAATTCAGTTGCGTATTTTGGCTCCTAAATGAAAAATTTCTAAGTGCATTGGCAGATTTTTCATAGTATCACTTATGGAAAAGTTCTGGTTTTATACGAATGAATAATTTCAATACAATTCATCCCATGGTATCTTCCTTGTATGGGATGCAATATCTTCATATTCCAAGGGAAAAGTGTAGAGAGAGAAAAATTAAAGAAAAAATAAACTTATATTAACCACAGGCAGAAACTCAGCCTCTAAGTAACCATCTCTCTATTTACTTCTTTTTAAGTGATCTAATTCCTTTAAATTCACTATTACTGATTAAATTATTTCCAGAAAAGATTGTATACTTCTGGGATATGTGAGGACAGAATATTATTAAACTCGCCTTATTTCCTTCAAAGGACAACTCAGGATGAAGCTGTGTTCAAGGATATGCTGATTATTTATTCATATATATCCAACTTTAGTTAAGACATGTTGGCTTCAGTGAACACAACAGAAAAAGTTAAAAATTCAAAGCACAAAAGTGAAATTTTGATACAAAGAAGGGTGATAGCAAACATTTCTTCTTAAAATGTGTTTTATTTCTAAGTGTTCTACTACTTCTAAATTCTAACTTTAAAAAAATTACTATTTTAATTTGAAAAAGATTGTATGTTTTGAGCATTAACTAGTAATATACCAAAAGCTCTTTCTAGGTACATTCTTAAGTTCTTTCTTGACATTTCATTACAAAATATAAATATCCCCTAAATTATATTGGCCTATAGTGTGACAGGAAATATTACCCAACAGCTGGTTTTATAGAAGGCTATAGACTGTTTTATGCTTAGATTTAGATAATTTGTGCATACTTTTCATTGTCTCATCGTGATCTGTGGGATTCTAAGTTTGAGATGAACCTAGAAGAAATTAAAGGAGCCATCATGGAGTGCTACAAGATACTCTCAATATAATTAAAATGCATAGCAGAAGGGTAAGACTGATGTTTTAGAAGAAATTTCAAAATATCTGAATTTTGTTTGGCAAGATTTGACATATTAACTGCTGCCATTGTCAACTGAGGTCTCTATCATTTCAAGATAATAAAAATACAACAGTTACAGTGTTATGTAATGTGCATGTATGAAAAATTAGAAGATAATTTTTTTTTCCATTTTTCTGAACACTGTAGAGCTGGATTTTCTCAAAGTATAATGGCATAAGAGTAGCTATCATTTCCACTTCAGTGGAATTTCAGCACTCCCCTCATTTAGGCAGAGTTTGAACTATTCAAGCATGAAGTTATTTAAGGTCCATCAAAAAGCAACCCAGAAGTCCTCCATGAAACCTCAGCTTAACATATTCAAACAACATATTCACTTTATCTAGCACTTAATGTAAAATAATTTGAAATTTACTAAAATCCAAAGTAAGAAAAAACCCCAACCAACAAAAAGGCCACTGATGTTACTGCGTGGAGACTTTATATAAAGGAAAACATCTTAAGCACTAATCAGAATGTCGACTTGCCAGTTGCCTGCCTGTAAAACACTTCTGTCAGGTTCATCACCAAGAATTCAGCAGGGGAACTGCAGTCACTCTACAAGA